TCGAAGATCGCGAAATTGGCCGAAAAAGCTCCGCGACTCTCTGCGAAGCTCTATCATAAAAATTTCACCTCAGACTCCGGCCGGCGGCGCGTCGCGCCGGGCATCAAGTGCCGCAACATTTATTGCCTTTTCTCACGCCTGCACAACTGCTGCAAGCTACGTTGTGGCAGCAGTCCGCCTTTGAGGTGTATTTTCACCCCGTCTCGCACCCCGTCGAACGAGAACCAGGCATTTGCGAATTAACTCGCGGGGCTAGCTTACGCTTAGCTACTTCTGTGACACCCAATACTGCGTCGCATACTTGTAATATGTACGTGTGTGTGTGCGTGTGAAGGAGCATGTGATGGTAGGGCGATCGATACACATGAAACTACGAGCGATATATATATGTATAGAGAGAGAGAGAGAGAGAGAAAGAGAGAGAAAGAAATATATATATGTATATAGAGATATAGATAGACAGATAGAGAGATAGATATAGTATATATATGTATATATAGATAGGTAAGTAGATAGATAGATATAATGTCGGGCTGAACGACTTGTCTCCGCTTAAGATTAATAATCAGAACAAGCTAATATATATAAAGATGGCCTAGAATGTCAACTAATCTACGTTCTACGTTACTCTATATCTTCCTTTATCGTGTCTAATAAGCGCCGAATTCCACATTCCGACAGCCTCGATCAGCTTCGCGGAACATTATCTTTCTGCATATTACTCTGGTTCGATCGCGTTTAACGGCGAATGATCGTATCCTTTATCGAGCGGAGAACCTTAATATCTCTTACGAAGTATTTATATTCTCTTGTTCGCGAGTGTTTAAGCTCCGCAGATACTTTGGCGTTGGAAAATTAATGGTACTTGTAGAACTTCGCAAGAAGAAGCGCGCGAGCAAGTTCGATAAAGGATCAAGCGCGCGATTGCAGAAACGATGGTCGTATATAGGAGAGTTCCGCGGTATATAAAATTAAATGCAATTAAATTCGATTTGTGTGTGTGCAACGCCTGATTTAGCCTGACCGACATTGATTCGCCTAGCCGCTTCCATCGAGCTCGCCTAATAAGCAAGGTTATCCGATTTTATCCGAACGGGATTTTATCCCATTTATATAATCGATCTCGATTGCCCCGTCAATCACGACAATCAAACGTTCCATGCATTTAATATCAATTCTAGAAATTTGAACTTCGCTTTTAATTTTTAAAAATTTAATTTCAAGCAATCATCCCGAATTTGAAAATGTTCATAGTCATACAATAGTCGATTGCCTGTGTGACATTATTCCGTATTTCTCTGTTTTCTTTTATTTATCGTTCTAATAGTGAAATATTTTACGACAACACTCGTAGCATTTTATGGTTCGGTCGGAAAACGAAACTTTACGAGATAAAATCGGACAATCGGGATCGACGATCTCCAAGCCTATATAATACTGAAAACGGACGGAGAAGGAAATTGCCGTGGTGCTTCCTTTTGCAGCAATTATGGGTCTGTGCGCGCGTGTATAGGGACCGCTTTTTCGTGATCTTTTCCCCTTTCGATTTGTCCGACGGCGAAGTCCCGCGGCGAGTGGAGCTTATGGAGAAATACAAATGCCCTTTTTCCTCTTCTCCTCCACCTTTCTCTCTCGTGTTAATATAGCGGCACACCACTGCAATGCTTAGCCGGCACAAGCATGCAATTCTCAAAAACATCCTCTACTACCAGTCTTAAAATCACGAAGTCTGCATGAGTCTTTTTTTTATATTTTTTTTTTTTTTATGGGTGGGTAGGTGTGTGCGTGTAAAAATATGAATATTAAAGGAATTAGTAGTATACTCTTGGATTGGCCTGCTTGTATCTCGCGCAGATGTGTGTATGTGTGTGCTTATTCCTGGGAGTTATATGTATATGTGTATTCGGGAAGGTCGGCACAACGTTGAAGAATTGCCTTGGATAATCATAAAAGTAGCTATATATTTTTATAGACAGATTTCCTTCGTTTACGTTATATAGTAATACGTTATATGAAGATTTTAATAATTTATATTGTTCTATATATACGAAGCGTACGTTTCAGAGAAAAATAAAAATATTTGAGATATATTAAGATGACATATTTAAATTTTTTTGTTTTTATTTACTTAATTTAGTAATTTTAGCGCAATTTTTTTTCCGAGTGCCGATCTGCCTCTCAATGCATAAAAAATATTCGCGTTCTCAATATATCACAAGCAATTAAATTAACATTATCTTTTATTTATATAAGATCAATAATTTCTTAAAGTAAATCTAGCGAGATACGGATCGAGAAATTTCCGAGCTGGCGCTGTAAATAATAATTATATCCCAGCGCCGTTCTCATTTCTTAAAGAACTGCAAGTTTTTTTGTAGAATGTTATTTAAGACATTCGCCACTTCGGTTTTGAATTCGTCTCATCCGCGTCGTCGAATCGACATCTTTGATGACTTTCTTCAGCTTTCGGAAGAAAAAAACTGCACGAAGCGTGATCATCGGAGCGTGCCACTTTGTTCTTCTTCAAAGTTGAAGAAAGATGATAAATTAAGCTGAAACGAGGAATGTCTCAGCAACTTCACAAAAGAATTTCCAGAAGAAAAGTTCGAATATTTTTTATTCACTATAGATATTCGCGTCTGATATGAGAGAATGCGTGTAATCTGTGTGCGTATGTGTGTGTTGCGTGGCTGTTTTGTGTCGTCTGAACAGCGATGTAGTCTATCAAGTCTCGTGATGGCAAAAAGAAGAAAGAGAGAGAAAGAGAAAGAGAGATATATATATATAATATATAAAACAGGTATATCGTAGGTATGTCCAGTTGAGGGGGGGTAAAAAACGAAGAAACGAAAACCAATGCCGAAAAAGCAAAGGCATGTTAGGTCTTGCGTAAAGCCGCTTTTCCTTTCTTATTTCTTTTTTATTTACACTAGACACCACAAACGCGCGCTTCGCGCGCGCTATTTAGCTTTAACATTATATGCTATTACTATTACACTATTAACTTTTTGATACACACAACTGTCAAAAATACGATGACAGCTGCAAATGAAGTAAGCACAGCGAGAGAACCGAGTATACGCTAGCTGCGTACCGCAGGGGGGGCGACGAAAGCGCTATCTGGGCGGCACAATTCTACAACTTTTGGGTCTTTTCGCCCTAGATACGTACCGCAGCGGGGGTAGAGGGGGCGATAAAAGCGCTATCTGGGCGGCACAATTCTACAACTTTTGGGTCTTTTCGTCGCCCCCCGAGGTACGCATCTAGCGTATAGTTTTGATCGTAATTGGCATCGCGGAAAAGCGGCAACAATAAACTTCGAGATACGCGAGTATTGACTTAACATGCCTTTTTTTATAAAGGACTCGACTATCATCCCCGATCTGCTTTTGAGCCACCGTCTCATCTCCCCCCGGTCACTCGTCCATCATATATATGCATATATTAAATTACATCGGCGTGGCACGATTTACTATATGATAAGACGGCAAATGAAGTAATTGAAACCAATGGAATAACACCGCGATCTTTCAGTGATAACATAATTATTGCAAAACCGTCAAAATATATGTAACTAACCCTCCGAGAACACAAAGGGTCAATTTGACAATGTTTTTTTTTTTGCCAGAAAAATTTTTAGCCAGAAATATTAAAAATAAAAAAAATGAAAATTTTTTTGTAAATTACGTTTTTTTCAAAAGAACACTCATGGGTCAATCTGACCCTACACATAAATGAAAAAATAGGTGTGTTCTCGGAGGGCTAATCAGTTGATAGTTATTAGAAAAATATTAATATATATACTTGATAATTATTGGATATTTATAGTTTTTTTGAAAAATATTACAGCTACCAACTTTTCTATTTAAAAAAAATTATTATCAATTTTATTCAAGAATTTTAATTTACTTGACCTAGTATCTTCATACATACTAGGTTTTTTCTCATTTCTCAATTACACACTATATATGAACTATTTATTGTTGCTACAATTATTTTTATTACGCATGTAACTGACTTTTTAAAACGTGCTATAATTTTTGGTCGTCAAAATACTTCAAACGAGGTACATGCCTAGATTGAACGTTATTCGGTTCTGAAAGCAGTGGAAATATATCGAATCAAATGTATCGATGTCGAAGCGACAAAGAAACGTATGAAAGAAAATTTTGTGTTGAAAAATCGTATCGTGTATCAGTATTATCGGTAACAAAATTATTATCTCTCTTTTATGGCTCTAAATAAAATCGTGTACATTCGCGTATGTTTAAAAAATCGCTGCGAAGTGCAATATTTCTCGAATTGCTTTCATTTTTGTGGACAACAGTTTGACGAAAACGGTATTTGTTTTTCTTTCCCCTTTTTATTTTTCATGAAATAACAGCGGTTTTTCCTCGCTAAAGCTATCGACAAATACCATTAATGATTCAATTTTAATCTACTGCAGTCTCTGAAAATATTGTTCAATGTTTAAAACAACATGCATATACGATGTAATTTTATCGCGATTTAAGATCGTCATCATGAAGAGAAAACCATGCTATATAGTGAAGGAAAACGATGAATGATATTTCACATAGTTAAACATCGGTACGTGGAAAATGTCACTGAGAGAACTGTTTTCACACCAAACCCGAGAGAAAGAAAGCGAGAAGGAGTGAGAGAGATGCGTTATTTCTATTATTTAAACATAAACGCGGCATTAGAATGTAAATAATCTGGTTGACTCGATGGATAGCCTGTCGGATAAATTCTAACAATAAATAAAATTCACTCGCGCGCTTTTCTAAAGCGTACTTAACCCGGTCTCGAGCTACGTATACTTAGCAAAATATAGCAAAATAAAATTAAATTAAACTGATTATTCAAAATTATAATAATCTACGAAGAGAAATTTCATTGCACGCGCGATATACACTTTCCATCAATAAACATTGATTTTCTCTCTCCTACGTCACACACTTAAAACATTTTCCAAGGCATAGCACAGTTTCAAATGGACGTCGATTTGAATCTTTATAAATATACAATTTATATCTAAAGAAGTAACATAATATAATGGTAAAATGAAGAATCCAAGTTCGGCGTAAGCTACGTCGATGTAAAATCGATTTGTTATCGGATAATAAAGGCAAACGATCATGCTGGCCTTCGCCAGATGGGGCGCTTTGACATAAAAGATCTTATATACAGTGGGAACAAAGAACACAAACGTGGTCCCAGTGAGAGGTTTCGGGGAGAGAGTGTCGAGACAAGAAACCCAATTATGAGTATAAGTTAGACGCAAAAGACAGCTTGTTTTTCACAGGGGAGAAGGGTATACCCAGAGGTGCATCTGTCAGAAAAAACAACATTCGCCTCGTGCTCGTGCCCCTCGACGATTATTTTCCACGTGCCGCGCGCATCGACGCCGTTTGTCGATGTCGGAGATTCAGACATAGACGTTTCACCTAATTGGACGATGCGCTCGTTAATTCCGCAACATCACTTCTTCCTCATTCACACGAACCAGCAATCCATATCGATAACGAAGTAGATTTTCTACGAAAAAAGCTCTCTGCGCGCGCGACGGTTATTGATAAAACTTACTCAAAGTATATGTATTCACACGTGTGTATCGAGTGCGCAAAAAACGGTGACAAAAGTCTCGCGCGTGCGTGTGTTTGAAAATCTGTGAGAAAAATCGGCAAAAATCCAAGGAGAGCGGTGCAGAGACTTGACATGGAAAACACATAATTATCGACGATGAAAAGATTTGATCTAATTACAAAGCAAAAGCTGGAGTACGTAAATCGTCAGTCTCGATTGACGATATATTTTCTCGAAAAAGACAGGAAAATCCTTTCTAGTCGCGTTTCTCCATCGGATTTAATTACTTCTAAGTCAATCGCGATCTTTAGATTCGACTGCGTGCTTTTTTGCAACAATTAGGCGGAAGAAATAATCGTCGAAGAAGCTGCCGAGATGTCGGGCAAAGGCTTACTAAAGTAGTCGTAACAGTAGTAATGAATTTGGTGATGGTGAATTAAATTTCTGGCATATTAAGAAATGTGTGGATAAACGAATGAACAAATGCTGAAAACGGATCTTGAAAAAGAGAGAGAGTGAGAAAAAGAGAGAGAGAGAGAGAGAGAAAGAGAGAGAAAAAGAGAGGGGTGGATTTGAGGCTGAGATTTTAAAAGGGTTTTTTTTTTCTTAAGGTGTTGTCGTGGGGGTATCGACTGGTAATATATTATATGCCACTCTAGTGTATATTATAAGAGGTTCGGAGGATAGATTTTCTCGGGGCCGTGTCGGTATCGGGGCCCGATAATCCTACCTTAAAGAGCTGTACGCCAATGACGGCGAACACGAACTGCAGGAGGCTGGTGACGAGGACTATGTTTCCGATAGTCTTTACCGCTACGATGACGCACTGTACTACGTGCTGGGTTCACAATATTAATCACAATATATATTCGCCCTTCGTGATAGTGAGATGGAAATTGTGCGCGCCGCGCCGAAATAAAAGTTATAACGCTCGTTTCGTTTCGTAACGATATCTTTTAACACGCATTCTGGTCGCATTCCGTCAAATTCGTGTAGCTTTCTTCTCGTGGAGAGCCAGCAGAGAATCTGGACTTCATTAAAATTCTAAACAAAGATACTCGAGACGAATTTCTCAATTCAAACTAGAAGTATACGTCTTTCAATGTCTCGTCGCAATATATGGAGAAAATCTATGGAGGTGTCGTTGCATTAATTTCGTATTGACGATAAATAAATATTTTGTCGATCTTGGTAAATAAATTTTCGCGTAGCGACGACATTCGCGCGTAAGAAAAATTCTCGATATTGTATACAGGGATGAAATGTAATTTCTCATTTCGCCGTTAACGTGACTTTTCCGAAGTTACCTCGGCGCTCTTCCACCATTTGTACACGAGTAATTGCAATTTCGCGCACGCTTGGCGATCAACGTCGGACTAACGAGAGCGACTCTGTAATCTAGCTGGCTGTGTGTACATATTATACGGTCTGGCGTTATTATTACGTATACTACGGCGGGGCGTATGCTGTGAATTGGGCCGGTTTTAGCGGACTTAGATAAAACAGGTGAGACAAATGAAAGAGATACCTTTAATCCCTTGGCGCGATTGATGGCACGCAGCGGCCTCAGTACACGGAGCACTCGGAGCACTTTGATGAAAGAGAATGCGCCAGTGCTGCAAGTATACAATAAATAACGGCATCAGTACAAAGCACGACAGATATAACGAGAACAAAAAATGCCTCTAAAACAATCTTTCGGGCAATCGAACTTTTTTAAAAATGAAACTCAGCCTCAGAATTGAATTGCCCTATTTGCGTTCTTTTTGCACAACGAAAAATTGCACGATTACAATTGTAATTGATTTTTTATTAATGTAAACAATAATAATATAAAGAACAAGATTATACTTCATGGGTGTCATGGAAATGAGAGAGGCGCAAACGACGAGAAGATCGAGCAGATTGAAAGCCGATCGGCAGAACGCGCCCTCGTGGATGATGAAGCCGTATGAGACCATTTTGAGGCAGATTTCGATCGTGAAAACGGTAGTGAAAAAATAGTCAAAGTAGTTCAGTATCTGCAACAAAGCGTAACCAACCAGTTATTTCGTTAGTATGCCCATTTCTACCAAATTAGATTAATTTTAATCTCGGTTTAACTTACTTTTTATCTTTTTCTAACGCTTGAACTAAAAAAAGATGGAAAGTAAGTTAAATCGAGATTTACAATTAACCTGCATTGATAGAAATAGACATTAAATGGAGATCTCGATAGTTGCGTTAAAATCCCGATGAAACGGATATTTTAACGGCATTTTGGCATGAAAAATTGATTCGTCTTTCGGCGCGATACCTACGTCATTTCTGTCCGACTTCTGTCTCAGTGGGTCTTCGGCGGCCAACATGGCGGAGGAAATCATAATGCACAGTAGTATCACGTTGCTGAAGTAACTGTGATTGCAGAACCAATGGCAGAACACGCGAAACCTGCGGAAACACGATCGAAAAGGAATATGATTTAAAGCGGCCTCTGCCAAAGAGATGTCTGAGAAATGAAAAGATCGGAGAAAGTTTCGTCGAACTATTTTATATATCTTTTATCTCGGCGAAGCTGAAATAAAGTTTTTCTGTACCTATTAGTGCTCGAAAAAATAAAGAATGCCGAACCGGCCGGGATCGGTTCCTTCTTGGTGGCCATGTTGTACTCGGACATTCTTCGCGGTCTAGCCGACACTTCCTGTCCGTCATCTGCAAGAGAAATTAGTCTCTCTTTTCTTGTTTTTATTCTACCGAATTATTATTTCGGCTCGCCTCACAACTCTTGCAGTAGAAATATTGATAGGATCTCGAAATAATTGGATGAATCGGGAACGAATTTTCTTTCAGTTATTAATTCCTGGAAGTCAGATTAACTAACGTACCTTGCATTTCTTGCTCACCATCTTCCTCCTCCTCTTCTTCCTCCATTTCCTCGTCGGACTCGACGTTAAGTCGCACCTTATGCGTATTCATATCGTCGCTTTTCTCCGACCTGCATAATTAGCGATAATTACTCGATATAGATTGCGTTCTGAATTTGCTTTTTTAAAATAGACATCTTTTTGTAGACTCGGCTCGCCGGCATAAATTCTTTATAAATCTATAGAACGTAGACAAGTATTCGTTTAAATAAAAGCCAATACATTTTTCTCAATATATGTCGCAGGAGGAAGAAGATAAAGTTCAATTATTTTTAAGAGAATTTAGTACTTGATAAAGATTTGACGTTAAGTAACAATTGAAGACGCTAACCTTTCTAATGATATCGGTCTGAGGATAAAAAATAAAATTGATAGAAGTGCACATTGTGCAAAAGTGTATCACGAGTGCCCTTAGCTCCGCTGCGTGTTCTTATAATTCTTGAGCCATGATTATCGATTTTCGCGAATCCCCTCGAGCTTTACAAGCTCATAATAACGCTGCACAAGGGGAGGGGTGCATAACAATGCTCTCTCTAATCTCATTAAATGTAGTAACGCACATCGTTATATTACAAATTCCAACCGCGCTATGAGAGAGGGCTTACGTTTCGGTATCGAGTGCGGCTTCGTAGTCCTCCATTGTCTCGTTAGGATCGTGTTCGAGATCTGTACCGGCGGCCTCCTCGTCCTCTCCCCCTTCGCCACCGTCATCGCCAGCTTCGCCGCTGACTTCGTCCCTTGCCAGTGAGCCGCTGCGAGATTTATTTTTCTCCGCCTGTGGAGAAGGGTAGTTATCTGCCAAGTGATTCGGTCAAAAACAACAGTCGGTTGCGTAATCAGTAGCAACGGGAAATGCTCTCATACACAGAAAATACCTCAATGAAATGCAACGGGAAATGCCAAGAAGAAAATCTCTGGGGATAGAATAATATTTATATTCATTCGTATTCAATAATATTTATTGAAACAGAATGAATACGCATTACTTGAAAGTAAAAGCAGTTTAACCAATAAAATTTAATTATGATTTCAATGGTCTCCGCATTCCAAACACAGTGTAGAATTTATTACAATTACCAAAAAAATAATCTGCGGAATTAATTAAAGGATCTATCGAAGAATCACGTCGAAATGCGTTCATGTTAAATAATGTGAAGTAATATATTTGTTTTTCAAACTAATTAAATTCTGTAGCCAATATACACATATGTTTCCCCGACGATTAACATTATTACTGTGCAAAGCTCATTCTATGAGTCGATGATGCACGCGTTCGCAAATATTAACATAAAGTACATCAGTACATATACAAATATTTGATTTGCTGTTATTGTAGCGCCAAATTCCCCCGAGTCAATTATATCTCGTTAATTTTCCTGTCCTAGGCAAAACTTGGCCATTGTTTACGATGAGGACACGCAGATTCGTCAGTGTCACTTTCTACGTGTTGTAAAGTCGAAAGACAAACGCGATATGAATATTGGCAGTAAAAAGTTTGATGCGAGAGAGAGAGAGAGAGAGAGAGAGAGAGAGAGAGCAATAAACCCTTTTTTTATTACCACGATATGATTGCATGTGACTCAAAAGTGCAGCTCGCGCAGCAACGAAGCTACAAACTTCTTTTACTACTTATAAGAGCGCCGTTGGCATGAACAATCATACAATACTTGATTTAAACATCAATTCCATACGTCTCGTTCCATTTTTATTATTAAAAAGAGAACAAGACGTTAAGTAGAATTACATATTTTCTTCTGAGTGACAATTACAAAAGTATACTTGACACGTAAGAATTAGAAAACTACTAAATTCATATGAAATTGCGTATTGGATAACGCATTGTGAATTCACGAATGCAACGAGATGTGCATCATACGTTAAGGAACGCATGCCTGAAAGAAAGTTCACGCGATCATATTTTCGTCGCGCAATCAACAGTTTTTCCCCCAATGTTGTTTGGTCGTTATCCACAAACGTGATTAATCAGCTTTCGAACTTCGCCGATGCGGTTTTAAACTACCCTACGAGGTAAAATTGCGTTGCTCGCGTCGCGTAACTTGGTGAATTGCAACGGCTGCACATTCGACGAAGAAAGTCCGACGTTACACACACACAGGCAATTCTCCGGGTCTCCGTATAACGCCCGTATTAATTTGACTGAGTCCCGCGTCAATTTAGATCAATTTCAGCTTGAGATAAAATTAGAGCTTGACGTTGACGAAGTTATTTATCGTTAAAAATAAATAGGATTCCAGGATACTGTGTTTGACTTTAAAGGATACTGCGTTTGACATTATTAAGCGTCTCTTATTATAAAATTATTATACATGTCTCTTAGTCGAATTAATATTATTGAGATTAATTTCGCGTAATAAAATTTTGACCGGACCAAGAAAGAGAATTACAATACAATAGCCATTTTTATCGCTCTTTACACGCACGTCGGCGTTAAACGCGACGTTAATTTACTCGAAATAGGCGACGTCTTGTCGTCGTCGGCCTTCAGATTCGTTCGAGCGCGCTCGCATTGTCCGTAATGCGCATCGTGATATCCACCTCTCGCAAATGCTATACGCGACGTAAAGATAAAGACTAAAGACGCGCTTCTCTCGAGAGACCGCTCGGCCGAATTAGCCTGATCGTTTATGAAAATCCGAAAGAAACGGCTCGTTCAAGAGTTACGTGATTCTACGGTTCTCGCGGAAAGGCAATGACGTGTACACACAATTTATTGCTTCCACGTTCTTTCGTGTCAAGGTCTTTCTTATATCGAGAGACAGCATATAATTGTGTTACTTCATTAATTTAATGGAAGGATCGAAAAGTGTGTCATTCAATAGAAAAACAAGGTGCTGTATATATAAAGATCATTCTAGTACATGTTGTGTACATTATTATACAAGCAATAGCAAGAACTATTATAATGTAGGTCTTTAAAAAATACGGTTTTTATCAATGAAAAATCGTTTAATTAATAAAACAGAGAGAAAGTGGTTTTCTTAATACAGTATTTCAGCGCGAATAAAGTGAATTTAACGAAACATTGCGTATATATTAAATTCACGTTATATCTGACGCTCAAAGTCGTCGGCAATCTAGTATGATGCATTATGTATCCATGTTCATTATCGTATGTACAATCAAACTCACCTCCTCTTCGGCCTCCTTTTCGATGGCAGTCAGGGACTCGGCATCGGCGAGATTGTCGACGGCGATAGCCAAGAACACGTTCAAGAGAATATCTGCGTTGCTATCTTCGTCAAGGATCGATTAAAATTTATTAAATCAGACCGAATCGATATTAACGCCGCGCGCGAGAACGGAAAGAGACAATTGTTTTTATCGCCGAGACGTCGTCTATTTCGCTAAAGGATACAGTTACCGCATATGAAGAGGATAATGAAATAAATACAGGCGAGCATGCCAAAACTGCTGACGCCGCCGTAAGCCTGAATCCCGACGTACATCACAGCGTTCCAGTCCTCGCCGGTTAATATCTGGAGATGCAAGAAGCCCCGAGCGTATCGCATATTATTTTTGGAACGGGGAAGAAAAATAGAGAACGCGAAAAGTATAAGAAATCAAATCAATCTCGAAGTCAAAACTTCGTAATAAATCAGCAATGCAATTTTACAGAATTGCGTTTCGAGTTTTCTCCATCGTGGAGAGTGATCAGATACCTGAAATACGGTGAGCAGGCTCTGCCAAAAGCTGTCAAAATTTTGACGCTTCTTTTCCTCGTCGTGACTGAAATTGAACTTTCCACCGAAGACCTATTTAAAAGAGAGATTTCGAAGAATAAAGAATAAATTAAATTCGACTGCATTCGTTATGTTGTTTATACGAATACTTTACGCTGAGTAATCTACCTGCATGCCCAGAAGCGCGAAGATCACGATGAAGAGGAAAAGCAGAAGCAACAGCGAGGCGATCGATTGTATCGAGTTTAGTAAAGAGGCCACTAAATTCGACAGTGATCTCCAATATCTGCAAAGAGAAGGATAACTCACATCTTTTATCGCGCACGTCACGTTTATCTCGCGCGTAAAAATTTATCTTCTTTAAACTGTACTGACGTATCGTATTATACGATAAATATAAATATCGATGGCACAGTTCTTGCAGAAATTGAACCTAAATTTACGACTATAAAAAGATCTGGCTGATCGGTACTCACTTCGTTACTTTGAATACCCTGAGCAACCGGACGCAACGAAGTACGGAAACGCCAAGAGGCGGCATTACACGTGTATTCGTAAGTATCATTTCGGTGATCGAGCCGATTACGACGAAGCAATCGAAACGATTAAACAACGAGACGAAATAACCCTGCGGAATAAATTGCAATACCTGAGAGTTAATAAGCGCCTTATCTACGTGTTTTAAGAAAATACTACGTGTCTTTTTGTCGCATCTTATTAACCCCTTGACTGCCGATGACGTGCCGCGAGAATGCATTTTGTTATATTAGAGTCGCTAGTGATTATCACTGAAGCAAGGTGTGACTAGCGGTTTTTGGGTGTACTGAACACAATTTTTGATCCAATTTGCAAAATGTTGCTTCATAAAAAAGATATGGCTATTAGAAAAATGAAAATTTTTGAGATATTTTGTTATATTAAATTTTACAAGGAATTAATGACTGAAATAAGATACATTTAGTAGTTTTTGGGCGTGCCAAACGTGATTTTAAAGTCATATTTGAAAAAATATGTTTAAACAGTTTTATGACATTTTTTTTTTACTCTAAATTCATCAGCACCATCAAAACCCCTCTACATAAACTTCCATTAATTTTCGAGAATCTTTTGTTTTTGACATTTTAGGACCACGCGAGGAAAATGGTGTGGCACTCAAGGAGTTCAAATAAGGATGCATCCAACAATTATAAGTAATAAACGCTAATTAAATGATGTAATATCAATGTTCATTAAATTCACGTAATTTCGAGAAGAATCGGGAAATGCTGCGACAGAGTCACTCACCTGAAAACCTAAACTGTACATTTTTAACATCATCTCCATGGAGAACAGCACGATGAAAAACATGTTCGTGATTTCTGATGGCAAAAAAGAAAGGAAACTCGCGTTACGAAACGTATTATACTGAAGGCGCCGGGGTCGGTTTATATAATTAAAGCAAACAACAAGTCATCGACATTATTTCCGCGGTAGTAGCGACGTGGCCGGTATTTACCTTGAAAGTGCTCCATCCAGTCCGGTTGACCGTAGTGCTCCGTGGCGAGAACACCGGTGTTCAAGAAGACCAGAACTATGATAAGCCAATAGAAGACCTGGGACTTCACAGCCTTCCTACAGGCTCTTCGCATCCGCCTGTTCACTCTGCGGAATATTCGCGTTACAATGCGCCGTGTATAGAGTTTAAGCTTCACGCTCGTTCGTGTACACAAACGCTTAAGGGATCTTTGAGCTCGTCAGATAAATGACGCTTTGATCTCTACTTTCCTCGAATACGTTTTCTCGATAAAAGCGCGTATTTCGGAGAAAGAACTTTCTGAGGACTATCATTGAGATCGGTCAAATTATCTGCGTCGATGATCATCACGAGAAATTGTTTAATTATTAAAATGGACATTAAATAACTTTAACGATCAAGATTTTGACAGGCGATTTTCAATGTCGCGAATTACCTTTCTAAATCCCGTTTCTTCTTCTTCCAAACGGACTCTTGCTGGATCCCTTCCTCGTCACCCTCCAATTGGTCCGTGCTCTCTATTTCATTTTGCTGCTTGGCTATATATATAATATTAAACGTTCAAACTCAGTTCAATTAATTAGCAGTCTTCAACTGGGGAGGGAAAAGTTGTTTTCATCACGTGAAATTGAATTTGGTATAACTTCTCGAATTTAATTTACGCACTACGCGTATTTGCATAAATGTATGATGTATACAAAACATGTTGCAATTAGATAAAATTATCCTGTTTATTCAAAATTGTTATGTATATATAATTAATTTTATTCTATTTTCTTTTATTTGTAATAGTAGAACATCACATCAAATTGTACCAAATTATTTTTAATAAACACGCTTAATTTTATTTTGGAAAATTTCCTCTCTCTTTGTCGCATACGTACTTTTTCCATCTTGCTTCGGCTCATCGGTCTCCGGCTCGATGTCCTCGGCCTGCGTTATCCAGTCGAGGTAACCCCTGAGATCGTCCTCGATCTGCTGCTTCTCCCTGAGCTTGTGAAAGTCGCCACGCGCCTTCGCCTTCTCTCTCTCCTTGGAAAATTCACTGCACGAAAGCGGGACAAGTGCACATGTACGTACGGTCGTCGTGTCGCATTGTGATTAGAGGTACCGGCGCGCGCGAGACGCGTAATTGGAACATTCAAAGGCAATGAAACGGAAATCGAGACGCGCGTGAAAAGGGAGTCTTTATTTGCCCGCGCGCTCTTCTTCGATCTCGCTCGAATGGGGACGGTGTAAATACGGTCTATTCCGTGTCGGGAAACATCCAGCGAAACGCTCCTCCTTCGACATTCATAGTCTCTCTCTTCTTTTATGCGCCAAGTAGAACGGAATCGATCCGTGACACTAAGGATCTAATTATCCTAGGAATAACGCTTCTTGATAAATGATGTATTTCGATCGAAGGTTCGATATCGTTCCGACATGAATTTTAATATATAAAATTTCGTATTCTGTTAAGCTGAATTTTAATTGCGTGATTAATCAGCGCTGTTTTTATCTGATTTTTTTTAAATTAAAACATCTATTTCTTTAACGTTTTAACGTTTTAACGTCACGGCATTTTGATTTCGAGCAGTCTTCGAAATGTATTTCAAACGTGCATTTTGCGATGCTCGCCGATAATAAGAGTGTTTACGCGCGTGGCGTTAAGGAGCGGATAAAACGTAAAAAGGGAAGGAAGTTAAATCGCGCTTGTCATCGATACCGTTTTCACGCCTCGATTAGCCGCGCATCCTTTACCGATACGCAATGGAGTGTGTGCGTGTATATATGTAGGTATCAACCTAAGAAAGAGATATTTTTATCTCGTTTCCCTTGCCTTTCCCTTCCCCCCCCTTCATCACGGATTGCAAGAACTTCGCGAGGATAGATGTCACAAGCCGCTTCAGCGGATTACTTAAAGCGTTCTTTAAACAATCGCTCGGGGATCACGGAAATTCGAAAGCTTATTATCCCATTGTATCGGTAAATGTCGCATCTAAACGTAGATAAAGTACACGATATTCAATCTATTATTCTCGAAATTTCGTTATATTTAATTAATCAAGTAATAAGAACTGCAATCCTCGGATTTCCAGATTTATTTTTGTTTATTTTCTTCCGTGACAATGGCTGTCTGTGGAACAAAATTTTTCTCCACACTTACCCGGACAACACACCGAGAATTAGATTCATCACGAAGAAAGCCCCAAGGATGACCATCGAAATGAAGTATATCCACTGCCACGAACTTCCCATTGCATCCTCGATCTAGACAAAACACGTAGATTTTAGCTTGTCGAAGGATTCTGCTTGTTCTCTTTTTTATTATTTATAAAATTGGCAATATATATATCTGAAGGTTTTGCAAAAGATGTATGTATATAAAAAAAGTATGGCGCTACAGCTTAATTTTGAGCTTGGGTCTTCTAAATGAGAATCCAAGAATCCTCTTCAGATTTTTAAACAATTATCTAATCACCAATGCATTTAATGCGAATTAATACACTGAGAAAAAAATGTTGTTAACTTGGCTAAAATTTTCAATTGATTATTATTTTTTTAATTGAAATATTTAAGTATTTGAGTCAAATTACGTCATGTTAGATTTAATATGTCGTATTTAATTTAAATACATAAATATTTCAATTAAAAAAATTATAATCAGTTGAAAATTTTAGTCAAGTTAACAACATTTTTTTCTCACTGTATAGAATGCTATCGGAAAGCGTAATCTACATCTGCATTTTTCTTCTTAATACTTGATTAGAGAAGATTATCATATGAAAGATTACTCGTGCGGCGACTTTACATTATAAAGCACTTCCGTCCAGCCCTCGAGGGTGATGCATTGGAAGACCGTGAGCATGGCCAGTCCGAAGTTGTCGAAATTCGTGATGCCGTTGTTGGGGCCCTCCCAGTACCGCTTGCTGCATTCATAGTCGGGCCCGACCCGGGAGCACTGGTAGCCTCCGGGGCCGCATGGTACCGGACCGTCCATTAACTCGCCTGCGATATAAAGGGGAATCGAATTTTTAATTCTCGACAGCGATAACGGCGGTCGCGGGGCGATAATAAGGTCGGCACTCTGCGCTGAAACTTTTAATTGGCTCGATTCGTCGAGCAAATGAGTTTAACGTATCATGATAACACTTAAAAATGTATGCACATTTTTCTATGTACACCTTATGCAAAGCGGCTTGAGACTAGCACCTTTCTCCACTAGTACTAAAGGCGATTTATCGGCCTTTCTCGCGCTTCTCACGATGTGTACATAGGTCGATTAAAGGAGCTCTGTTAAACCCTCGTTGCTTTGTTAAACTTTAAATTATACCGAGCTGATACCGTCAGCCCTGCAAATCGTATCTGTATCTCCTATCAAATTAAAATAATGGACATAATTGCTAGCTAATTGGTTTCCCTATTAATAGTACATAAATATAGGACAGAGAAATATCGAAAGCGCGGATAAAGTACCGATTAATTAATATAAATTAATTTTAATAAGTTAAAGTAATTATTCTAATTGATTGTTAAAATTAACGTTCGCTTCTCTGCGATATATCTTGTGTGTCTACATAAAAATAATTAAACACAACGTACACAAATAAATAAACTATTAACTAATTAATGCAAGTGAATTCTGCATAGGTAGAATAATTTTTTTAGTTTAATTAAAATTAAACTTGAACGGTTTTCGTGTATAGACATAGAAACTAGAAACTAAAGAATTCCAAGTTTGTAAGAAAGAAGTTTGGCGAGGGCATTGCAAATTATTGTTCTCTTTTTCTTTCAGAGTTTTCGTATCGCCCGGGCTCGGCAGCATCCATACGCTATTTTACACATTCCTGTGAATCAGCTGTTCGTCGCTCGCGCGCGCGCGCGCCTCTCGCGCTAATAATAATAATTAGACGTTAGTTTCGCGTCTGTGTCTCACAGTTGAATCATATCTAAAATAGCTGTCCCGACGGAAAGTGTGTTTTGAGGCTAAGCCGGGAGTTCCCCCCGGGGTCCTCGCCAAATTCCCCTCCTCTCCGGTTCCAACGTATCCGATTTTTTTTCGTTCCAATCACCACGAGACAATCCCTCGGGAATGCCAAATGCAGATAAATTTTTTTTGTATATTAAGGCCAGCATCAAAAAGTCTCGATTAATTGGGTATTGTGATTACTTAAGAATTTGTTGTAGCTTTTTAAATACGCATTTTATTTTTTTTATGAGAAAAAGGAACCGTAGTTTTTTTTAGAAAAGTTACATGAACTGAGTGTACATATAAAGATATACATAATATATCTTTTTCCACACAATCATTGTATACATATGTATAAAATCTTTCGAAGATAAACATTTATTTCAGAAGATAATTTTAGCTTGAATTTTATGAAGAATTTAACGCAGAATCATGTTGAATGTAATAATGCATTGTTAATTTTTAATGATACGTCAAATAAATTAGTTGCAAAATAACGTTAGAAAGAGAAAAATTGAGTTCCTCTGAAGAGCTAAGCTTCCCAGGAAGGATTCGGGATATAATAGAAATTTAAGAGCATCGATCCGCGATTGCCGCCACGAGAACGTTGCATCGTCCATTAAATGTTTATCGGAGAAATCCTGAGACACGCACTTACCGGTTATTTTGTGGCGGCACGTCTTGTGCATCTTCCCGGAGAACAGCTCGAGGCCGATGATGGCGTAAATGATGATGACGAAGAGAACTAATAAAGCAATGTGCAAAAGCGGTACCATCGCCCTCAAAATGGAGTTTAGGACCACTTGAAGACCTATGCAAATTAATTTATTTTTATCAATTCTGTGTCGTTTTCATTAATCCTTTAAATAACTAAAACATATTTAAAAACTAATAATTAGCTAATATGTAAAGAGGCTCACAAAAAATCAAACTCAAAGAGTAAAAACTTGTTGAATGAGCCATGAAGTCTAATATATATTAATAAACGCATGTAGGTCTTAACTTGACGTGGTTAAACGCAATATAGTATATCTGAATACATAAAAATCTTTAATATTATATAAAGTAAACATAGTCAAAAATTAAAATAAAGCGTATCTTAGTCAATAATATACATAAAAACCAGACGTTTCGATCTTCGTTGAGATCATCCTCAGTGATACGTTATGCATAGTCAAAACGTTAAATTGCAGACTTGTTCACGCTTGAGCCATGCTTATATAAAATATTTTTTATTTGTGCGAAAGAATTACGATTTATACGATTTTACTAACATCACATTCGTAAATTGCGTCCAAATTTTGTTAAATTTTAGTACAATCTCTCTCTCTGTTTATTTCACACGAATGAAATAATTCAATCACGTGTATTATATTAATGTTTTGATGGGAGATCTTACTTGGAACGCCGGAAACCAGCCTGAGAGGACGCAGAACACGAAACGCCCTTAAGGCCTTGACGTCGAAACCCTCCTTCATAAGTATCGTCAACACCGTGCTTATCATTCTGCAAGGAAAAAAACGCAAGAAAAAATGTTTCTATGCAACAGACGGGGATTAATGACTTGACGATAAAATGGAGACTTAAGATAATGAAGGCTGCGCGCGCGCGAAAGTCATTTTCCCGGAACGTAATTTGTCCCTGAAGAAAAGAGCTTTATGTGCCAAGGCTAATAGCACTATAAACACCGTGTGGCAGCATTTACGAGAACATTTATACGAGGTATAAAAAGCGGGAGAAGGGGGAGAGGGACAAAGAAAAAAAATTTTCCCAATAAACAAGACTCGCTGAAAAAGGGAAAAGAGCTTTCTAATATCCTCCCCCCTCCAATACGCGCAATCTTTCGCGCCTTCAAATTATACACGACGTTTGACGAGCGTGACGTTATCGCAAACGAGCCCGTCAGAGCGGACCCGTCAACCGGAAAGAAAACGATCGAATCGGATGAGACAATTTCAAATGTTGCACCGGCAGCTGCATTTTCCTGCATTAGGTTCCATGTCATTTGAATAATGGCCCCCGGCGTAATGGTCGCTTCTCGAGCGGGAGGGACTAGATGTGCCGGATGTGCTCTCTCCCGCGGGACATTAAGATGGATCGATTCGCCGTGTCGTTAACCGAAATTGATAAAGTTATCGGATGGCAAGTCGGATATAATACACGCGATACACGGCTCCCTTCCGAAACAGGTACCTATAGTTACGCCTGTCGATCCGAGTCCGCCGTTAATCTGAGATAGATTTCGCGAACAATCCCGCGCGCGCTCCTCTCGCTGCGAAAATAAAATTCACATCGCTCTCTCTCGGATCATTAACCGGGAAAACAACGGGGGAGAAGGGGGGGTGGCCCGACATGCTCTGTTTGTCAAACTCCTCGGCGTTTTACGCGACGCTCGCATGTACATACGTGCGTGCGTCCGTGCGGGGTTCTCTCTCGTCTCTTTATTATGTAAAAATCGATGATCGCGCGTAAATAGGGTACCATTATTTACGTCACTATATATAGTTCGCCACACGGTATCGTGGTAGGAATAATTGCGTAAGGACGTATCGAGACCCCGCGTCGATAACTCAGAAGGCTTATATGGTACCGTTTCATTTGCGTGACAAGGGATGTCGCAATCGCATTTTAATGATTTTTCATGCCTTTCATCCGCGAAGCCGCCTTTTTTCCTCAGTTTTTAATTATTTTCACGAATAATGTTAAATGCCGGTTTTCTCTTGTTTTTGTAGAGTCCCTAGTACATAAACAAGTAAAAAAAAGTAGACAATTGTAAATTTTTATTTGCATAATTACTATAAATAAACAAATAGTCAAAATTTATGCTTTTAAGGGGACTAGGCAAGGTTGAAAATGCAAAAATTGGCTCGTGTTTAATGGTTTATAACAAGGCCGCGAATGAATATAAAACTTTTTTATTGTTTAGGGTATTAATTATAACATTACAAAATAAAAAAATCCATGGAAAGTCGTTCCCAGATCAATAATATCGGCGTCCCAATGTAATAAGGAAAACTGTCGAATCCACGGTTTTACCACGATTCCAGTCGAACGGATAAAGATTTTGGCAAATTCTAAGAATATTTCTTCTCCTTAGGCTTCCCTCTATCGATTATACCTAAAATCAGATTGAAAAAAAATATTGCTACAATTTTATAATAACAAATAACTCGAATTTTTACAAATTTTTTGTTTTTTGGACGCCATTTTGTTAATTTTATTTTTATTTTTAATTTTTTAGGTATAATCGATAGAGGGAAGCCTAAGGAGAAGAAATATTCTTGGAATTTGCCAAAATCTTTATCCGTTCGACTGGAATCGTGGTAAAACCGTGGATTCGACAGTTTTCCTTATTACATTGGGACGCCGATATTATTGATCTGGGAACGACTTTTTATGGATTTTTTTATTTTATAATGTTATAATTAATACCCTAAACAATAAAAAAGTTTTATATTCATTCGCGGCCTTGTTATAAACCATTAAACACGAGCCAATTTTTGCATTTTCAACCTTGCCTAGTCCCCCTAATGACAAAAATTGATTTTCTACTGAACTATTATCAATATCGAAACGAATTTAGGCACATATTTAGAACACTCTAAAGTATTTTTCAGAATTTTGTCAGTTTTTTTCGCTACGTTGTTTTATTATAAATTAATAGTCTTTGAAAAATATAGAAAAATCAACATTTTCTACTGTAAATCCAAATAAATAGTTTAAATATCTCTTATAATGGTGTCCTACAGATTCAACGACCTAAAAAAACTCTGTCAATACTGATTTTTATGAAAATTAAAAAATTTTTGGAATATTAGATCGGCCACTTAGAATTTAAAAATTCTGACTTCTGATTCGTATAATCAGCGACTCGAAAAATCCCCGAGTACAAAGTTTCAAAAAAATCGGCCGAATACAAAGATTCGTGGCACAAAGGTTTAAGCGAGTCCGTAAATTTTTGAACGTTGACGGAACACGATATTATTATTTTCAAGGAAACAAGAGCGTTTCATAAAATTCCGCATAAATATGCGATAAATATCATATGCGATGTAGCGATCGCGAATGTAAAATCCCACTTATAGAACATAGAACCGGTCCGCGAAATACTAATTGCGGTGGGAGTTATCAGCGCTCGGCCATGTGAAAAGGGGCAGGCCCTATTAGGGTATTATCAAGTTAAGCGGCACTCGTAAAATTTCAATCCCCGATATCCGGGGCTGAATTTAATTTACACGCATGAGCCGCGACATTATGTCGACCGATCGGCCGGCGGACGCGCGTTGAATTATTTCGCTGATTTCCCCACCTAATGGCTTCGTGGTACCTAATTCGGTCGGCAGTTCAGTCATTTCGTCGCAACGACCAACGACGCGGGGGGAACGGATTTTCGGTGTAATATTTCCTTCCTTCCGGCGCCGCCGCCGTCTTCGCTCTCTCGTTCGGTTCGGCGCGCCGTCAATTTCACTTTATTTATGCTCGGCGAAATGCATGGCCGAACCGACTCGCTCGTTGAAGCTCGGCGTTTTAAATCAATTTTATTTCCGCCGCTTCAGACGCTCACTCGCGTTTTTATGAAATAAATACGACACGCAGCTTCCGTGTTTGTTCGCAGCGCGAGTTTTACAATTTTCAGAGTTCGCCTATTAAATATATGCAATGTGTATACAAAAAAAAAACACGAAAATACAATAACTCCGCGAAGAATAACCTCGTTTAGATGCTTTCAGCTAGTATAATCGATATATAAAGAGCGAACGCGAAATTACTTATTATTTATTATTTATGTGAGCCTCGCTTTTAACGCCTATAAATATTAAAAGCTCTACTGATAAAGGTACTTGTTTTTTAGGCTGCCAAAAAACAAATACTGTCGAATATTTTTCGCCACGTTTTTTGTAAAGCGAAATTATTTTGTGTCAAATTATAATATTTATAATTATAATAGTAATTTATAATTATATTATTTATATAATATATATTATATATTAAATTGTTGTATATTAATATCCACACAGAGTAATTAAAATATCATATTCAATATATAATATATATCAGATTTCACGGAAGTAGCTTGCTCGTCGTTGTGCTCGATATGTTATATCCGCGATAAGCGAGCATCAAACTCAAGTTGTACTACTTGTCGGTGCGCCTTAGCGTTCGTCGAACGTCATCGGCAATGTGTGCACTGGGAAGGCATCATCAGGTGTAAACTATCCGCCGTCAAAGTGTATATGATCGCCACGCATTATCGATTACGTCGGCATTGATCCAATTAACTTGCACTCGATATAGATTGTTAGGTACTATCTTCGTCGGCCCTCGCCCACCGTTGAGTCGAATTTGGGGAAAAGTGAGTTTATTATAAAAAGACGTCGGGGATATTATTATGATGCCACAAGGCCGTGCATTTTTAAGCAATTTTCCCCCTCATTATAAAATTCAGATGGGAAGACGGATGAATCTGGGGAGAAATGACCGGCTAATATCTCTTTCCAGAAATGTGGCGGCGAATAAAAATTTGAGAAAAGTTAAGGCTCCCGCACAATGAAAAATATAAGGAACAAGGAACAGATATTAGCAATAAAAAATCAGGAATAAAGTGGTGTAGCATTGATGCACGGCTTTTGACAGATTAAAAATCTATTGCCTGTGTTATTCCCCGTTTCTGTTTTTCATTGTACATCCAGTTTTATTACTGATTCTTTAGTCCTAATCGCTAATATCCGTTCCTTGTTCCTTATAATTTTGATTGTGCGGGAGTCTTTATATTCGCATATTTAATATAATATATTTAGTTCTAATAGATTCAATTAATATATTTTAAAATCCATCCAAAGAAGAACTAGATCTATTTATGGACAGAAAGGGGAAAAAACGTGGAGAGTTCCAAGGTTAACATACTCACCCAATCACGACTATCGTGAAATCCAGCAAGTTCCAGCCGTTGCGGAGGTAAGCTCCTGGATGCGCGACGAAGCCGTAAGCTATGATCTTCATCACGCACTCCACCGTAAAAATCACAAGAAAAACGTACTCTATCTTCTCCTGCAACACCAGAGGAAAAATCGCCGTGAAAAATATGATGGGAGATGCGACGGTGTAGATCGATCGCCTCTAAAAGAGCCTTTGAGGAAAAGTTACAAATATAGAAAGACCTCCCCTGTGTGTGCATGTGTGTGTGTATGTGCGTGCTGCTGTCTTAGTGCCGGAAAGAGGCCACTTTGATTGATAAGCGTCGAGCGATAAGACACTTTCGCAATTTTGACCCTACGACACGTCGTCGGCGCGGCGTCAACCGGAGATGGCAATTAAAAGCAAGCGGCGGAGACAAATGGCGGCGGGGGCTGCAATTAAAAACGCACGAGACCGCGAAGACAATGTTTCACGCTCACGTAAACAGGACGTCTTCGTTAAACATTTAAAGCACGAACAGCGGCGTAGCGGTTGCAGTTGGATTACCGGCGAGTTACGACAAGAACGTGATCGCTGTTAACCGCACCGGGAGAAAAGGAGTGTCGACATCCGATATTTTTTTCAGGGACTCGAACACGGTATATTTTTTTTTATATTTACAAACGCGAACATTGCGAAACCTGTTGCTCTCTCTCTTTCTCTCTCTCTCTCTCTCTCTCCTTTCTTCGAAAATCTCTTACCTCGCGCTAATGCGATTAGGCGCTGAATAGACCGGCAAGAACTTGAGCAAATTTTGAAACTTTGACCAACTCATTATATGGAGCACCGAAATTCATTAATTATGATGTCAGCTATACAAAACTGTACAACACTCTGGAATTTGTCCTTATGTATCTTTTTGTTTTAATGACAGATGATCGATTATGCATGCAGGATTGATAAAATTGATAATACACATCTGACTTTGAGATAGTTGCACGGAAGAAAAAATTAGCTAGTATAGCAAATATGGGATAATTAATATTTTTTTGCAGGAAGAGCTATATAATTTTGCAATAATAGAAAAACCTTTTGTTAAAGTTTTGCTGAACCTTTTGCTATTTAATAATAATTGCAAAAAGATTTTGCTACTATTGCTAAATTATAGCTCTCGCTGTAAAAAAATTTTACTTATCCCATATTTTTATACAAATAAATTTGCTATAGTATAGCTAATTTTTTTCCGTGTGGTATTGCGCGCAAAATACGACATTTAAATTCTTAATAGGTAATTAAATAGTAAATTTCTTTCTTAGAAATTCTTTTGTAGTCAACTATTTACCGCGACGGACGCAAACATAAGATTTATTATAATTTCACTGAATATATGGGATTTATAAAGTATATAGGGAATGATATGTAACAAAAAGAAATATATAAAGAATACATTTTAATCGGAAAACAAAAGAAAGCAGACGTGCATTTTATAAAACGCACTGACGAGTGTAGAATTCATTTTTCGATCTCGATCGTTCCTCAGCGTGATTCATCGACAGTAGTATCAGTAGCATCGTTGGCCGTCGCGCAAAAGGGTTAATCGACGCATGGTCGTTATGGTCGCGACGGGCAGGGGTATAAGAACGGCACAGGCCTTGGCGAGAAAAACAGGCGAAACAAAAGGAAGAAGCAGCGGGTTAAAAATAAGGCTGAAGAACGCTCTCGCTTGTACACATCGGAGATAGGGGAAAAAAGAACCGCTGCGCCGCTTTGCGGAGAAGGCGCACAGGGGTGGTGGATGATTAAAAGGGGAATTGAAAGGCGCGAATACGGCCACAAAGAGGACACGAACCCTCTATCTCTCTCTCTCTCTCTCTCTCTCTCTCTCTC